GCCGAACTTTATTCAACTTCCGCCTCTTTTTATTTTTATCCTCCTGTAGATTTTTTGCTGCTTGTCTAATATTTTCAGGCTTCAGTCTGAAAGGAGTTTGGGGGGTTTAGGTGTGTTCGGCGGGGGTGGGGGTAACACCAGAGGGTGGAACGAGGTGTTTCCCCCCATGAATCAGCTCTATTTTACATCCTCCTGCTGCACCATACTTCAAATATGACGATCATTAATAAAAAAAAGAGCCATAATTTTATTTAATTTTATATATAATTTAATCAGTGTATAATTATTTATTATTAATTCAGTTAGAATGAGTGGAGCACTCGTAACTGCACAAGATATGGGCATTTTTTTCAGATAGATCCTCCACTTTTTCACTTCCGACCTCCATCCGAACTTCGCGCTCTAGTGGCGCTGCGTCGTGACGTCACGTGAAACTCTCCTATTGGTCCTTTTATATATTTCTGTTTTTATTTTTAATCATGTCAATTTGGGTCCTCCTTATTGTACATCATTCAAAGATTAAAAAAAATCTTTCAGATATAAAAAACGAAATAATAACTTCTATCTCATTTTATGCAGGTATTATTGTTTAAAAGTACAGCAGGAGCTGTTAAAAACCAACCTGAGCCCCGCCCCCTCCTCCCTGCAGGTCTAATGGGTCTAATCAGGATAAGTGGGAACACCTGTGTTTGTGATGTGAGACCTTGTGTGTAACGACTTTAGTGCTTCATCCCTGCTGGAGAGCAACACATGCCACCGTTTAACCAGCTCTCCTGCAGACGCTTTTCCATCAAACGCTGAGCGAACCTCAGAGAAAATAATACAAATAAAACTGCTGAGTTTGAATAAACAGTCCTGGTTTTATTAAAGTTCTTGGAGCAAATCCGGCTCCTTCTGCAGACGAACTGATTATCACATTTGGACAAAGGATAGTTTAAGAAAAGCTGATTTTTCTGAACATTTTATTTTTAATGACAACATTTTAAAGTGTCTGTGACATCACATTTTTGTAATAAAACATGAATGCATTTTTGGAAAGATAACATTTATAACATATTACAAAACAAATTTTACGCCGCTCAGATGAACTTTTGTTGAGATATTTGCGTGTGAAGCAACAGGAAGTGATGTCAAAGGGGAAAGTCTGCATGTGAACAGTGTTACTCAAATGCCTGACAGCACGGACCGTAGAGGTTAATTTTGACGTTTCTTCAGTTTATTTTGAGTGACTCTCAGAGATGAAGGGTCAGAGTTCAAATAAGAATGTTTCAATAAACAAAGACCAGTTTTATTTCTTAGAGTTCCCCTTTTATGTCACTTCCTGTTTCACTTTGGCTGAAACAAGTAAAAAATAAATAAGATGCCAGTTATGTAACAAAAAGAGTAAAAATTGTGTGTTTTATGCCAAGTTCCTTACATATAAAATGTTTTCTTTGACTTTTTGTATATGAAGAATATACATGTCAGTAGTTGTGTTTCCATCGCAAATGTGCGCAAAACTTTGTCGATACTCTGTTAATGTCGAAAAACAGTTTCGCAACTGCAGTGTTTCCATTAAGTAAGAAATGTTATTAAAGTCACGTGAATACGTTTGTTCTCATGATAAGTCATTACAAACATGGCGGCGATGGAT